CAAAAAAATCGAAGTAATATTGTCGTGAATTCACCTGAAGAATACTACCGTATTACAATAGCTATTCCTTTTTTTGACGACTTCATTGAACAGCTTCAAACAAGGTTCAATAATCATAAAAAAATAATTTCTTCATTGCACAAGTTATTACCAAAAACATGCGATAAATTTGAAATTGATTTAAATAATTTTGAAATATATTCAGAATTTCTGGATTTGGAAGTACTGCCACAAGAAATTAAACTGTGGAAAAGAAAATGGACTGACGAACTAGATGTAGACCGTCCAAATTCGGCTATCGAAGCGTACATTAAATGTAATTATGAATATTTTCCAAATGTATCTTTTCTTTTGAAAATATTAGCTACATTACCAGTTTCGACTTCTACACCAGAGCGCTCATTCTCTACTATGAAAAGGCTAAAAAACTTTTTACGAACTTCATTTGGTCAAGAACGTCTTACAGGTCTAGCACTTTTGAGTGTGCATAGACAAATTAAAATAAATCCAGACGATGTGATCGACAGTTTTGCAAAAGAAAAAAAAAAGACTGATAGACTTTGTGCTATAAAAATGTATTATTTTAAAATTTAAACTGAAAAATGACTCATAAAATTTTGTATTGTATTGTATTATAATTTTGTATTTTAACTTTAGTATACTTCAAAAGGTAAATTTTGTAAAATAATGACAAAGGTAGGTCATAACATAAAGTATAATATCTTGTTGTATAACCTAACTTAATAGTAAGACAATTTTTTTTTGTTTATGTTATGTATTAGTATTTAAATTATTTAAAAACATATAATTTGGTTAAAACCCCCCCGAAAATTTGTTCCAGCTACGGCCTTGTATTTATAGATTCAGATTTTGTAATAAAAATATATATTAGAGTCAACACTTTTGGATATTCCAATAATTTAACAAGTTTGTTGTGTCATTTAAATATTTTAAATTAATCATAAAATAATAATTAGTCAATTCATTTATTTTAAAAAGTAATAGATAAATGAAAATATTTTGATAAACTATTTAAAACAATTAAAAAAAATGAGATTATTGTTTAGGTATTTTATTAAAACCTAAATTCTTATAATTTTCTTTATTAATTTTCTCCATAAACTCACTGAAAATTTCAATTATGGCTTGATAATTATTAAAGCAATCAGATATGCAATCAGTATCAATGTTGATTAATTTTTCAATCATTTTCATAAAATCATACAAATCAGAATATCTTTCAAATTCACAATACGTCTTAGAATAACGCAATGTACCCATTATTTTAATTGATAATTCTTTTTGTGTAAATATTCTTATGTCATTGAGAAATTCTGTTGCTTCATAATAATTATATTCTTGGCTAACGAATTCACTTGAGGATTGATATTTTCTTCTCATGTCAAAAATAAAATCTCGAAAAAATTCTATTTGTAACTCTATACATGATGAGGCATTGTGTTTTAAGTGACGAATTGCCATATATCTTAGTGTTTTCAAAGCAAACAGCATATTTTTAAACATTTCATCAGATTTTAGTATAATATTAAAAATTGTTATTGCACAGCTATTTTTATTGTTAAATTGACAAAATGTTATTAGTCTATTCAACATATTATTAAAGTATTCAAATATTTCAATATATCGACACCTTAAAATTTGTGTAGTACAAGCTCGTATGAGTTTATAATTTTCTAAATTTACTGGAACAATTAACTCGTTAAAATGTTTTTTTTTACAATTAGTCATTTTATGTTTTATAGCTATATGTTTCCAAAATTTCCAGCCATCATGAGACATTAAAGTTTTAATTATATTTATACCATCATTAGTGTTATATGCGTTCCTTGTATAATGTTTAAACCTAAAAGTAAAACAAATTCTTGTAATACTCAAGTAAAAAATTATTTATTTTAATACATTTGGTACATTCTGAAATTTCATTATTTAAATATATTAAAATTTATATAAGAATAAAAAGGGTTATTAAAAATAATATTATTTATTTGTAATAATTCTTATAGATTTTGTGCACAGAGTGATCTATTTGTCATAACCAACCCAATTAATCGTAGATTACAAATAATTTTGAAATTGTTATTTTTATAACACAGTGCTCTCAAATTATAAGCTATGTAATATTTTCTAAATTTGTTTCTCATATCTTGTACGAGTGTAAACTCAGTTTTAGCTTCAATACAAAACTGAGAAGGTATTAATTTTAATATGATGTTTATTTTATTTCTTTCAATGATATTTTAAATGATAAACTATCGTATTTAGTTGATGACTTCCTATTAAAAATAAAAAAAAAATCATTTTCCCTTCTAATGGAGGAAATCTCAAAAAAAAATGTTATTTTACAATTTTTTTTAAAAATGAATATACCAAAAAATAAAATTTTTAATAAGTTATTTGTGATTTTTAATTGTTAAAAATAATTCATGCAAAATTTATATTCAAAATGTCATTTTCAACCTATTTTTTGGTCTTTCATAATTGATTCTTATGATTGTTTATAATTCTAAAACGTTGAACCATNTTTATATTCAAAATGTCATTTTCAACCTATTTTTTGGTCTTTCATAATTGATTCTTATGATTGTTTATAATTCTAAAACGTTGAACCATAGCCTTTGTAAATCTCTAATATTATATGTTTTGATATTTTATATTATACGAATATATATTACGAATAATTTCTAAATATTTTAATTACATAACCTATTCTATTCAACAAATATTTTTGATTATTTTTAAATAATTAAAATATTAAGTTTGGAATAATTCATATGTAGAATATTTTTAACACCAAGAGTTTTGCAGAAATGATAATTCTAATTTTNTTTTTAAATAATTAAAATATTAAGTTTGGAATAATTCATATGTAGAATATTTTTAACACCAAGAGTTTTGCAGAAATGATAACTGCGATTTGTATTTAAGTGATTTATTGATCTTAACAATACGATTTTTAATAACATAATATTATATTCTACATTTTACATATTTCAACATGATTTTTTAAGGACTGAAGTAGATAACATTGAAACTAAATTTGAATCATCAAATACAAATTCATCAATATTAATTAATGATGAGTTAATATCAGAGATAATGGATAGACAATCGCGGTTAAAAAATGTATTGCTTTTTAATTTACCTGAAATTTTCAATGAAAGTTAACTAATACAAAATCCGATTCTAATTCTGTTCAAAATATACTTGATTTTCTTAAGTTAAATACTAATCTGAACTCGATCACTCATCTGGGCAAACCTTCTTCCAATACTACTAATCCACGAACACTTAAATTATGTTTTTCCGATCAAAGAGATATTTTTGAGTTATTTTCATGTCAAAGCTAATTAAAATCAAATCCTACATGGATGGACCTTCGAACTTCTTAACCGTAAATCTATTGGAGAAAAGGATCTCATCAATAAATACATCACAAGCACTCTAAAAATTATCAATTCAAAAAACTAGCTTACAATTATGAAACCTGAAACAGCTACTATTAAAACATAAGAGGCTTGAATACTAAATTTACTTTATTACAAACCAATATAGATCTTTATAGATTTTAATATACTAACTTTTACTGAAACCTGGCTGCATAATAATGTTAACTCACTAGAACTTGTTCTCTTCAATTATGAAATTTATAGATGTGATAGATCTTATCTGACTAGTTCATTATCCTGAGGAGGAGGTGTCCTATTAGCAGTTGATAAAAGATATGTTTCCTCAAAAATTAATACTGGAATCAATTCATCAGAGTCCTGCTTTGTTTCTGTTAAAATAACTAGTAAAAAAAAAAAAATTTGTGCTGCAGCTACTTCCCACCAAACTCTCCATGTTCATTTTATAGTGATTATTTTTCTATTTTAGATAATCTAATTTCTTTTCAATCAAATGATAATTTCCTACTGTTCAGTGATTTTAATTTACCTTACTTAAATAAAGCATCTTTAAATGCCAATTTAAATCTATTATTTCCTAAAGCTATTTTTCTGGAAAACCTAACATTTCTTAACCTATTTCAAATAAATACAATATACAATAGCAATGGTTTATGCTTAATCTTATATTATCCAATTCAAATTCTTATTTTATATCTTTAAATAAAGATGCTGTAGTTCCTGTAGATATTTATCATACTCTTATTAATGTCAATTATACTCAGTCAAACTCACCCTCTACAGTATCTTTTGCAGAAGAAGTCTATGACTGGCATAAAGGTAATTATAATAATATTTTATCTTTCCTAGATTCAATTAACTGGATCAAATTTTTTAAAATTAATAATGATATTTCGATAATTTCTAATAACTTCTATTCGCTCCTATACTATGCTATAAATACATTTATTCCCCCAAAAAATACTATAAATCTAAATTTTCAATTATTTTTTTTTCTAAAGACTTAATAAATCTTATCAAATTAAAAAGAAAACAACATTCCATTTTTAAGTTGTCAAACATACATGTCAAAATTCTTTTATACACGTGCCCATTGTAAAACTTTAAGTAGACTAGATTACTCCCGATACTTAAATAATGTTTAAAAATCTTTTATATACTAACCTAAGAAATTTTGGTCTTTCATTAGTAACCTTAAAAAGTCACCCAGTTTACCCAACTCAATGTCATTTAACCAAACTATATATGGCCAAGACATTGTTGGTTTATTTAGTCAATACTTCTCTTAAGTGTATAAAGACACAGTCCCTATTAACGTTAACATTCAATCTAATAAAAATCGATCTATTGATTAATTAAATACACTTTATATTAAACTCCTTGAAGTTTTCAATGAATTAGATAATCTCTCGTACAAAAATGCTATTGGTCCTGATGGACTCTCTCCAATATTTTTATTTAATTACAGGTTCATACTCTCTCCATTTATTACAAATTTCTTCAATATTTCCTTAAATTGTGGCTCGTTCCAATCACTTTGGAAGTCTACCTATATTAATCCAATTATTAAAAAAGGGGATAGATCATTAATTTCAATCATCCCAAAAATATTTTCTAAAATAATGAATAATAAGCTTACAACTATGTTTAAAAATATTCTAGCATCACAACAAAATAGATTTCGAAATAATAAATCATCTCTTATCAACTTAATAACTATAAAGCATCATATGATAAAATCTTTTTCAATAATCAACAAACCAACGTTATTTATACTGATTTTGAGAAAGCCTTTGATAGAGTAAACCAAATTTTATTATTTAACAAGCTATATGAAATAGGCTTTGCTGATCCCCTTGTATCCTGGTTTAACTCTTTCTTAGGTCATCGAATTCAATTTGTTTAATATAAAATTTTTATATCAATACCAATAAACGTAATTTCTAGAGTACCACAAGGCGATCACATCTTCCCTCTTCTATTTAATTTATTTATAAATAATGCTATATCCTTCATTACACACTTCCACATTCTATTATTTGCTGATGATGCAAAAATTTACAAATCTAATGCTTCTATTGATGATATCAAACTCCTACAAAATGATTTAGTAGCATTTAATGAGTGGTGTATTAACTGGCATTAATTTACAACGTTCCCCATTAAATAAAGATTTAGAAATCTTATTTGATTCTAAACTATTATTCAATGATCATTTAGCAGTAATAAAAAACAAAGCCTTAGCAGTATTTGGTATGATAAAAAAAAACTGTTTCAATTTTCATGATACAATGGCACTCAAAATGCTGGACATAATAATCAACTTGAAAAAGTGCAAAATACCGTCGTCAGATTTATATGTTTTAAATGTAATATCCCAAGAATTCCTTACTCTGGTTACAAAATCAAGATACTTTAAAATCTCGTAGAAATTCATCATACCACGCATTTCTTTCCAAATTATTAAACAATGAGATTGACGACTCTTACATATTAGGCCAATTAAATTTCAAAGTTAATAATTTTTGCACTCAAAAGAATGATTTATATTATATACCCCAATCATTTAAGAAATATACATCAAATGACCCAATTAACATCTTAATGTCCGTAGGAAATAGTTAATCACTTCTATTATATCTATTATACTTTTATTAAGTTTAAATTATTATTTAAATTAAATTAGTAATATTAAGAATATTGCCTATTTCTTGGACCAATATTAAATCACTAAAAATTAAACATGATGACCCTGAAGCAATAGAAAAATTTTATTTTAACAATATTTCAGAAATCCTTAATAAAAATTGGACCTCGGTGATGCCAAACTTTCATATAACCAAACAAATTAACTCTGATGAATATTTTAAAGATATTATGTTAAAATCTTTTTCTATTCCACTTATAGACAGTTTTTTAGGAGATATTATTTATATCTCTTGGCTGTCATTATTAACTTTGGTCATGGCTTTCTCAATTTACAAAATTTATCCAATGTTTATAAAAGTAGACGTCATGGGTTTACCACCTCCAATACCTCCTAAATATCAAACATAATTTCTTACTACCATTATATTGTTTTTTTTCTTTTTTCTTTTCCTTTCTCTTTTAAATATTTACAATTCTATTAATACACTAATTAACTAACCACAAATTAATAGTATAAAAATCTACACAAAGCAAAAAACCATTTAATCAAGATGGATCAACCAAATGAAGTATTCCATCTCCTATAAAAAAAGAAACTCGATTGGAAAGAAATTTGACTAAGCGGAAATGGAAACCACACAAGGATAGAATAATAATAAAATGGATGTCATAAAACCAACTCTACACTTCATTTATCAAAATTAAACTGCTAAATATTTTTAATATTATTGTATCTTTGACTTAATCCTGTACCCTTTCAGATTAATTTAGAAAAATATATACTTGCATA